TTGATAGATGAGTTGATTCCATATTTGGGTATTTTTTCCTTTTTATTTTTTTGGGAGGGTCTTGCTTTGTTGCGCAGGCTAGATACAGTGCAGTCATCATAGCTCACTGCAACCTCAAACTCCCAGACTCAAGCAGTCTTCCTGTCTCAGCCTCCCAAGTAGCTGACTGTAGGCACATGCTATCAGCTAATATTTCTGGGGGTTTTATTTTGTAGAAATGGAGTCTCACTCTTGCTGAGGCTGATGTCACATCTAACTCTTGGCCTCAGGCAATCCTCCTGCCTCAGCCTTCCAAAGTGCTAGGATTATAGGCATGAGTGCCCACCCTGATTCTATATTTTGGATATTATGAATAATGTTGCAGTGAACATAGGCATGCAGATATTTCTTTGAGATACTGACTTCATTTCCTTTGGCTATATCCCCAGAAGCGGGATTGCTAGATTATGTGGAAATTCTATTTTTAATTTTTTGAGGAACCTCTGTATTGTTTTCTATAATGGCGGTACCAATTTATATTTGCCCCAGTAGTCTACAAGGATTCTCTTTTTCTATATCCATAACAATACTTACTATCTTTTATTAAACATTGTTTATTTATTTATTTATTTTTTTTGCCGTTGCAATCCTATTTGTCTATTTTTGCTTTTGTTGTCTGTGCTTTTGGAGTCATATAAAAAAAAATCATTGCCCAGATCAACATCAAGAAATTTTCCTTCTGTTTTCTTCTAGTGTCTTTACAGTTTTCAGATTTTATGTTTGTCTTTAGTTCATTTTGAATTGATTTTTGTAAATGGTGTGAGATAAGGGTCCAGTTTGATTCTTCTGCATGTGCCTATTCTATTTTCCCATCACCGTTTATTGAAAGAGACTGACCTTCACCTATCATGTGCTTCTAGCACCATTTTTGAGGATTATTTGAATGTAAATGTATGAATTTATTTCTGGACTTTACTCCATTGGTCTATATGTCTGTTTTTATACTATTTTTTTTTTTTTGAGATGGACTTTCATTCTTTCACCTAGGCATGAGTGCATAATCATATAGCTCATTGTAGCCTCAAAATCCTGGGTTCAAGTAATCCTCCTGCCTCAACTGCCCAAGAAACTGAGACTGCAGGTGTGCACTGCCACACTCAGCTAACTTTATTTCTTATATTTTTTAAGGAATGGGGTCTTGCTGTGTTGTCCAGCCTGGTCTCAAACTCTTGGTATCAAGTGATCCTCTTGCCTCAGCTTTCTCAGTCATTGGGATTGCAGGCATGAACCATTGTGCCCAGCCCATACTGTTATGACTGCTGTACCTTTATAGCAGTGGTTCTCAACCTTTGTAATGCTGCTATGTATTTTCATTGTTAAAAAGGGGTTGCAACCCACAGGTTGAGAACCACTGCTTTATAGTGTATTTTGAAATTATTTAATATGGTACCAACAGTTTTGTTGTTCTTGCTCAAGATAGTTTGAGCTCAAGCTTGCTGAGCAAGATAGTCTTGCTCAAGCTATTCAGAATTTTCCATATAAATGTTAGTGCTTTTTTCTGTTTCTATGAAAAATGCTGTTAGAATTTTGGTGAAGATTGCATTGAATCCGTAGATTGCTTTGGATATTATGGGCATTTTAACAATATTAAATCTTCCAGTCCATGAGCACAGGATGTTTTTGTATTGTGTCTTCTTCAGTTTATTATATCAGTGTGTTATGATTTTATAGATCTTTTACCTCCTTGGTTAAATGTATTCCTAAGTATTTTTTATGCTACTGTAAATATGATTGTTTTTTAAATTATTTTTTGAAGTCTTTGTTGTTTGTGTATAGGAACACAACTAATTTTGACCTGTTGATTTTGTGTTCTGCAACTTTCCTGAATTAGTTTATTACTTCTAACAGTTTGGTAGTAAATTCTTTAGGGTTTCCTATGTGTAAGATCATGTCATCTACAAAGACAATTTTAGTACTTTTCCTAATTGAATACCCTCTTTCCCTTCCTTCTTTTTGCATTATTGCTCTGGATAGGACTTCCTGTACTATATTGAATAGAAGTTGTAAGAATGGGCATCTTTTTTTTTTTTTTTTTTTTTTTTTTAGCGGGAGAGCTTTCAGGTTTTCTTTTCTTTTTTTGTAGAGACAGAGGCTTATTTTATTGTCCTCGGTAGAGTGCTGTGGCATCACGCAGCTTACAGAAACC